CTAAACTAGTATATTCTTATTTTAAATATGATATTATCCTTAGAATCCACACTAGAATATATTTAAATCAACTTTTAAAAAGTTCGAATCCTGCGCGTCTCACTTTTTAAATTTTCGAAAAGGAAAATTATATTCTCCTAAAATGAAAACAATTTTCCGAATTGACATCCTTATTAACAGTGCTATTTATATAATCAATATCCGAATTTCGAAATCATTTTGATGAAATCTTTATTTTAAAATTGAGTTGACTGTTAAAATCACCCGAGAAGAGGGATTATCTCAATGAAAAGTGCATAAAATAGCAAACGCACAAGATGGCACTATGCAGCTTTATATTGTTATACAGGATGAACATATAAAATGTTTGGAAAACACTTACTTCGTTCTACAAATGTGTATCTCTTTATATCAAAGATTCTTCTCAAATTATTGAGAGACTTCTCTCAAAAAAAGGAAAATTTGATAACTAAAAAAATTATGGCATAACCTCTCGTTTTGCATAGATATATATTTACATGGTCACAGAGCTTATTTTCATTGTCAAAACTTAAAAATTTTTAGTGGACTATACCCTTAATAATATTAAACTCCTTTTTTTTATTTAGGTACCCTATTCAATTTCTATCGTCACCATATGGAGAGGTCAGGCCCATATCATAAAACATTAAGTTTGGACTTACTAAGACATGTAAGAATTACCTTGCTTGTATAGGGGCATTAAATACTTTTAGATGCTAAAATCTTCAAAATTAATTTAATTTGATATTCAAAATATGCACGAAAACGTAAATAAATACGGATCTAGCTCTCACATATCTCTATTTTAAGCATTGATAAGTATTTCTACATTCTATTTTAAAAAATATTCAAATTTCACAATATTCTTTTCATTGGTAATCTACATATTAACGAGAATGTAGGGCTGTACAAGATTTAAAAAAACATTGCCGGGTTACCGTAGAGGCCTAAAAAAATCGCGCCTCGGCGGCAAGCCGCCTCGGCATTAAGAATGCGCATCTAAATTTTTATATGTCCTTCTTTCTTTTATTTTTCCCTTCCCTTTCTTTTCTTTTTCTTTTTTTCCCTCCTCTTGCTCTCATTTACCTTTTTTTTCCTTTTCTCATCATTTTTCAAAATTTTAAATTTTTATCAAAAATCTTGCCTATAAAAGCAGACTATGGAACCTTTTAATGCCTCTTAATCAATATTATACAGCATAAAGCATATTAAATGAAAGTAATTACGTATAAATTTATTTTATTATCTTATTTATTAATTCTTTAGCATGTATTGTTTAATATTAACTTTTCTGTACATTAAATATGATATCTCCAAAGTATGAATGCCTTGTAACGAAACGAAAACTTAATTTTATGTTGAATATTTGTCACAAACATTAGATTATTAAAATATATGTTGGATATCCCTTAGTATGAGACTTCATGACTCTTGTAGTCTAACGTGAGCTTTGGATTGCAAGCTCTGTGGTTACGAACATAAATTAATTGTAAAGTTTTCAAAATTTTTTATCGTTTTATCAGCATCTATTTTTCTTTAAAATAATATATTTGTATGAATACAATATTTAGTAATTTTTTTATTTCCCATAATTTCATTCAAAATTTCAGAAAAATTAATTTCTATTCAATATTATTTCAGCTTCAAAACACTTCATTCTTATAGATGTTGATTCACTAAAGTGTGATACTCAATGTCAAATATCAATGAAAATTGTTCTGCAAATTTATTTCACTTTTGACCTCACTTTTTCCGTAATTCAATTTTTTACTTTTAATATTTTAGATCTTCATAATATCATTTGAAAAATTAACCATATAAAAAAATCAAGTTAACAATTCACTTTTTCCGTAATTCAAAAATCAAAAATATAAATAATATATTTTTTTATCAAATATTATTATTATATTCTATGAAAAATGAGGTCCGGAAATTTGCGGATTCCCGTAACTCAATTTTACGGAAAAAGTGCAGTAAAACTATTCAAAATACGGGAAATTGGTGTAACTAATGATTTTACGGTAAATCACGGAAAGTCCCGGAAGAATATATGTGCCTATATGAAATTATACAAAAATGAATCAAACGCATTTTAAAAGATTGTTCTTGTATTATAAATGCTATTCGCAGATTTATTAGTTGAAGAAAATTACCAAATTTTTGCCGATTTACAAAAAATGATTTACAAGCATATTTTTATAAGGCTTTAAAAATCTTTAAAATGTGACCGGTGACGGAAATCCATGGTAACCAAACCGCGGTTCCCGTTTGGAATGCCATACGAGAATGATATACTTTTCATGTGTTTAGAAGTTTTAGCTTTAGTACTGTATTGTTGAAAAATTATTGAAGACTTTTTTCTTTTTGAGAAATTAATGCAATAACCAAGAGAGGAATTGCATATGCTGCGCACTAAAATTATAGAAATGTCTCTAATTAGACACAAATAGAGATATTCGGAAATAAAATTTGAAATTTTGATCAAAAACGCTATTTTCTAATCATTTTTATTTATTTAACTATATATAAAGTAATCTTTTCTATAATTTATACTTGATGGTTTAAAAGACGTTTAGACTCAAAATTTTACTGCATTTCATGTGGTAACTATGCTTTATCACTAACTACCTCCTTGTTTTCAACCTGAAAACATATATTATACCTCCAATGCAGGTATTACCAACAAATTGCAATTTGGCTATGTCTAAATTTTCGCAAAGAAAGAGGAGTAAAGTCCCATTTATAGAATTCGAGCTATATTAGAATGCAACTTAGACAAAAGGTTACAGTTTCAATACACATATTCAAAAATTTGCATTCGAAATTTAAGATAAAGTACAATTTCCAAAAAAGAGTATCGAAAGTGCACAAATATGCATTTACATGCTTACACTAGCTTGCACTAGTATTAATAATTTTTGAAATTAATTTTCAAATTATTCCCATACCTTTTGCAAAATTTTATGCTTATGATTCTAAGCATAGTTTAAGCGATCTCGAATTTGAATTGCTAAGAAAAAATAATTAGTAAAAAATTTGTCTATGCATTCTGTATGATGCAACTAACTATATTAGTAGCATACCTAAAATCTTTTCAATATTTTTGAGGGAATTTGAATGGTACCGGTTGAGAGCTTTTTTTAATTAAGGTACTATTTCGATAGAATTTGAATGGTACCCCTTCAATTTTGTGAGGGACCCCCTTTCATTTTTTGAATAGGGTACCTTAAATGAAAAAAGGACCTTACATAAATTTAAATTCAAGTTTATTATTATGAATTATTAGAAAATTATTAGACAAATATAGCATAATCATAAATTTCTAAGAAGTATGGTGATATATCTTTAGAATAGGATAGTTTTTTATTATTTTATCTGTAAAATAGTTCATAGCAACAACATATGATCAATGAAATCATCTAAAACAATCATAAAAATAGCGATAAACACATTGTAAAGAAGAGTGTTGCTGAGCAAAATATAGATAAACTAAAAGAAATGCTGCTAAGCGATTTAAAGTCAGACCAATATGTCACAAAGTAAAAGAAAACACTAAGAAATCCGAGAATCCATTGTAAGGCCCTGAATGCAGACCAACTCTCGAAAAATTGAAAAATAATGAAAGTTGTTGCAATAGATGCGACTAATATTGTAATAAATATATTATTACTGGACCTGATTCCACCTCGATTTTGGTTCATCCCTTCTATTTCGACATCATCTAACATATTAAACGATTATTTTCAATTCAAATTGCTTTAGATAAAATTTTATGTAAATTTTGATAAAATATTATCAACCAAACATCAGATAGTTGCGTCTCAATCAAAATATTTATCTTTGGATATTCAATAAAAGTTGAATTAGGAGTGATTTATAAAATAATCTATTTATGATCTATAATACAAACAAACAGTAACAGGCAATGCAAATAACAAAGGTTTTGAACAAATGTTCACATGAATAAAAATATTATTAAAAAGTTTTGATTAATTTGCGTAAGGTAATAAGTCATTACATAGTTTCTTAAAATCCTGCGGAATTTGGCCTTTACATGAAGGGCAAGAATTAGAATCGTGATTTGCGAGACATTTTACGTGGCATAATGCATTACAGCATGGTAATGTTGAAACAAGTTCTGAACTTTGAAATAAATTACCGCAGAAAATGCATTTACATTGCAAAATATCTTTAAGATTTTCAGATTCGCGAGCTTCCAGTTTTTGTTTTTCAATTATTTTTTTATCAATATCTGTAGATTTCTTTTGAGCATCATTGAATGCTCTAAAAATTTGGCCGAATTTGAATTGGGATGAGTAAATGATGTCATAAAAAATTGACAAAAAGTGGAAAATATCTGATGAATATGTTTGATTTTATAATGTATTCAAAATAATTTTTAAAAACAACAAGCCTGCGTAGCATAGTGGTTATTGCGTGCGCCTTGTAAGCGCAAGGTCGCCGGTTCAACTCCGGTCGTAGGCAAATCTTTTTTATTTTTTTTAATCCAAAAATATCATTGCAAGTTTGGAAGAAACAATATGAATTTTTATGTTACACAAATGCCATAACTGCCGTCCATTTAAATTAAAACAATATCTTAAATCTGTATGGAGAAATACTGGTTTATGTATAAAACTCATACTCGTTCTTGAAGAAAACATACATAAGTTTGTAATTGGTGCACTAAGAGATGAATCAGATGGGCTCTTTTATGCGACATTTTTGTTTTGATACATGAATATCTAAGGGGAAGAAATTCTGGTTATAAAATATCTCTCAGTGATATCTAATTACTTATATATGATATTTGTTCAAGAAAAAAAAATATGGAAATATTACAAAAAATATAAACTATATAGAGTTTATTAAATAACATGATTGTAATATAAAGCAACAAAATTGTTCTGAAAATCGAGTTAATGATGATTAATTGAAGTTCAGAAACGAAATCAATAAAAAATTGAATAAAATAGAAATTAATCGCCTGTTAGTAAGAGTCTGTTCTCGTGATCACCATTTCCTTTAACAGAAGAGATGAATATCATATCTATAACACCCATTGAAATAAGAAATGCCAAAAGGAAAGCTCCTGAGCTACTAACATTAGACATGAAAGCTCCAGTTAGAGCACTGTAGCATGGATTCTTCTTTGATTCTGTGCAGTTATCATCAGTATATTCACCAACTTCCATAAATCCGCAACATTTAAGCTTTGACTGAACGTTTGCCACGGCATCTGTATTATAATTATCTCTCCAATGTGTTCTAATACCATCAAAAAAGAAAAGTGGAGTTAAAGCCCAAATAAATCCGTAATATGCTTCTATTAATAGAGCGAAAACAGATACACTAATGTGCATATAATAAACGAGTGTAGATTCCGTAAAAATGTATAATGTAATCAATATTGCTGTCGCCATGAATGAAAAAGCTACTAATTGAGAAATAATTATTGGTTTTTGTACTAAAGTGAATAAACCTGAGTCAACAATCCAACTCTCATTTGAAATTACTGCAAGTATACTTGCAAAGATGCACAAAACTGTAATAAGAAGTGCTATATACAGTCTGTTCATCTTTTTTAAAAAAGGTGACAAATTCTTGTACGATTATTTTTTCATAAAAGTGACAAATATGGAAGAGTCAAAATGTACAATTGTTTCACATATTTTTAAGTTTGGAGATAATAAGGAGTTGAAATATGTTATACTAGACCATAAAACGAATAAACGTGAAGTTAAAAATGGTAAAGAAATTGAATCTTTTAAAATGATTCAAGATTATTGGTTAAAATTTCCAAAAAGTAATACTAATTTACAAAAAAAGGAAGTAACTGTCAAAACAGAAAAGCTTCCTACTCCAATTATTACTCCAAGTCCAATAGAAGTAAAACATGAAAATATTCAAAAAGAAGAAAAGCATGTTAAACAAGAAATTATAGTAAAAGCAGAAGAAACACCGAAACATGAAAAAGAACGTAAAGAAGAAAAGCATGAAAAAGAAAAACCGGAAAAAACAGAGAAAAACAGCAAAAAAGAAAAACAAACTAAAAGAAAAACTTCGAAAAAGGATAAAATGGTCGTTGTCAAACCTAAAACATCACAACATAACCTTTGGAAGGATCAAATCCAAGTTGAAATTTTGGGTTACAAAAATTACGATAATAAACAGTACATTTGCATCAGAAATGGCAGTGATGGGTACAAATTAGTTGAATTAAGTGAAGCAAAAAATAAGTTTCCTGCTCAATTAGCAACATTTTTAGAAAACTTCATAACTTTTAGAGATGAAGATACTCTATGAGAATTCTGTTAATACTAAATGTTTATTTTGTTTGTATCAATACTATTTAAATTCTAATATTATATTCTGTTTTAAAATTGATATTTAATCAATATTTATGGTACACAATAGCTAGCATCATATACCACTTATATATGATCATAAATAAATAAAACAATTCAAGATATAAGAAATTTATATATTTGATTTCAAACTGTTATCTCGTTTGACAATATATTATTCATAGCCTTTGAACAAATAAGTGAAAGTGGTTCCACTCTGATACGTTAACAAACTTCAATCGTGAAGGATACATGAAATAATTTGTCTCAAATGTGTTCGATCTAGCGATACATAACAATTTCGATCCAAATACTTGTAGATACTTCTATTTCTTGAATCAAATTGTTCTATATATATTAACAAACAACAATTCACATCTCAAATTGAATCTTTCGAAGTTCCTTGATGTTCTATCTGATGGAAAAGATCAGAGAATCGTAGTTGGTAACCAAGCTCCGATTTTATGCAAAACATAGAAGAATTGCATACAAATTAAATCAAATATGAGCAAAGACAATAAATCAATACAAAAAAATCGAATTATATATTATAAGCGGAAAGACAGTTTTCGTTTAGTCGAAAGCATGGCCAGCGCAGCCGAGGACTTCCTTATCCTTGCGCATGTACATCTCTGTAAGCTTTGTACGAGCTTCACCGAGGTACTGGCGTGGGTCGAACCATTCTGGGTGCTCAACGAAGAGGCGGCGGATTGTGCCTGTCATGACCATACGGCCATCAGAGTCGATGTTGATCTTGCAGACAGCAGACTTGGAAGCCTCACGAAGCTGAGCTTCTGGGATGCCGACGGCTTCTGGCATGTGGCCACCGTACTTGTTGACCATTTCGACGTACTCCTGTGGGATGGAGGATGAGCCGTGGAGAACGATTGGGAAGCCTGGGAGCTTCTTCTCGATCTCGTGGAGGATGTCGAGACGGATTTCAGCCTTTGTGCCCGGTGGGAACTTGTAAGCACCATGGGATGTGCCGATAGCGATAGCGAGTGAGTCAACGCCTGTCTTGGAGACGAAGTCCTGAACTTCCTCTGGGCGTGTGTATGTGTGGTGTTCAGCCTTGACATCATCTTCAACACCAGCGAGAACGCCGAGTTCGCCTTCGACTGTAACGTAGTCTGGGCGGGAGTGAGCGTACTCGACAACCTTCTTTGTAAGAGCAACGTTCTCGTCGTATGGGAGGTGGGAACCATCGATCATGACGGATGAGAAGCCAAGATCAATGCAGGACTTGCAAAGTTCGAAGGAGTCACCGTGATCGAGGTGGAGAACGATTGGGATGAGCTTGTGCTCTGGATGGATTTCCTTAGCGAATTCAGCAGCACCCTGAGCCATGTAGCGGAGCATTGTCTGGTTAGCGTACTTACGAGCACCAGCAGAAACCTGAAGAATAACTGGAGACTCTGTCTTGACGGAAGCTGTGATGATAGCCTGGAGTTGTTCAAGGTTGGAGAAGTTGTATCCTGGGATAGCATAACCACCCTTGACAGCCTTAGCGAAGATATCCTTGGAGTTAACAAGGCCAAGTGACTTGTATGAAACAGCCATTGGAAAAATGAAGTTACTTCTTATCTGTCAAATTCTTGGTTAACGATTGGTCAGCTTTGTGAGGGGTGATCCCTTTTGGTCGCCTCAACTGCTCTCAATTTTTCAATAATTCATAGAATTTTTTGAATGTGATCGTCATTGAATTCTCATCGTCATGGAGAAAAAATCTGAGACGAACGACCACTCCAGATTTTGAACTTTTGTTCCGAAGCAATATCTTGTGGGACTTAAATAAATATGAAAATGACCCGGACAGGTAAAAAGAAAGACAATTGCAGAAATCATTAAGTGAGCCATAGCTTCTGGATAGTTTCATAACAATTTTTATAATATAAATAATAAGTGCTGGTTATTTAACTATGTTTTGGTTCAAAAATTTACGAATTTTTTCACACATCATTCAAATTGCAATAAATTTTGAAATTTTAAGCGGAATGTCAATATCCAGTACCTAATTTAATTATAATTATAGTTTATGGTGATCAATAAATCGATTTCAATATAATTTTCGGAAACTTTGCAATGAAAGGAAATCATCATGACGTCTTTGTATCATGTTGATACACATGCATATTATGGCTATTTATCAAACCTAGAATTTCGGAAACTATTGTCATCGAAAGAAAATCATTCAAGGAACGTAATCATAAGAGCTGATATATCTAATCAAGTAGGATTATTGTCTTATTTGATGAAAATGATTCAATTATCATCTGCTTTCTTTGTAGATCTATTCTCTATTATAAGGTAGTCACAAAATCTAAGTAGTGAGGCTCTCAAAAATTGAACCGTACTCCATACAAAAGTTGTGTACCCTCACTACTTAGATTTTGTGGCCTTCAATTGAGAGGTTAGTTTTGATAGAGCACGTTATAAAATTAAAAGGGAAAAATAAATAAAATTTAAACATTTAATTATATATAATTTAAGGAGTGTAATTCCAAATTTTCTAAAAACTATTCAAATTTGAGCATTTTTTTGGAAATAGTAAATCTAATATGTACATCTAATAACAACATGATTCATCACCTTTTCAAGCTCTGCAGTCAATTTTTTGAAATTTGATTGAAATAAATGTAGCAAAAATTACATTTCATTAGGGAATATATGAGTTTCTCTGGAAACAGGCTGATAAATTTTAAATTTTGTCCAATCAACATGAATGCATTGAGAAATTTGGATTGATTTTCTGGTAGAATCTGAAACAATTCAACCATGTATAAATGGATCATGTAATCATCATGAAATGTTAGTGTTAGAGTTCAAAAGAAACAGAATGAGTGGAAATCAAACACAATCTGAATAATTTTAAACGTATACGATCTTTAAGTTTGTATTTTGAATTCTACATATATGATTGTGTAATTCGTTCTTTCAAATTTTCGGATTCAGGCATGTTTTGATAAAATTCATTCCCAAAAACGTCAATTAACAATTAAATTTAGTGTATTTTAAATATATATACGTATTATATTTTATAAATTATATTAAATTCGCAAAATTTTAAGTTTTAAACAAAAATAAAAAATGTTCAAAATATGAAATTATGCATAGGATATTAAAATTTACATGTTAGCAATTTTTTTGAATTGCTTTCAATTTTCATATTGAAATTTTTAAGATTTTTTTCTGAAATAATAAGCAAGAATATCAACCTAAATAATATTAAATTCCATGCGTTAATTTCCCCTCAAAAGTCATTGACCGCCTCTCAATCTAGATTTTGTGAGTACTTTAGTACTTTTGCTCATAGTAAATGTGGATGTATCTAGATTATTGTGGAATATCCGATTGATCTTAAAGCTTTATCAAGCTCTGAGAGCATTAAAGCGTTCTTATTTACTGCGAAAAAACAATTTACTGGGATTTCTATAATGAAAATGGTAGAAATTAGAAATCCTCTTTAAATATATCCTATTTTTAAACATGCTACTAATAATTTTTATTTTTTCGACGTTTTGAATTTTCATTTTTTTGATGGGATTTTTAGTTCACACTCTGAATTTTATAGGTGCAGTCACTTCCCCATTACAAAGATTCAACAAACCATCATACTTCATGAATATTACTGATGATTCATTCACCGTTAGTCCAATAATAAAATATCATCAAAATATAATTATTAATAAAACCACAAATGGCGAAATAGTTAAAAGTGTCACAACAGAGATAGAAACTGTTTACGAAGAGACATCTCCATTCCCAAGTCCAGAAGCTGAACCTGCCCAAACTCCAGATCAAGAACAACCTCAAACACCAACTTCTACACCGGAGCAATCTGAACCCCAAACGCCTGTTACAACTACTATTCCTCCAACAACAACTGAACCAACTCAATATTACACTGCAGCTCCAGAGCAGGCGTCAACATTCTATTCTACACCGATGTCAACAGTAGTTACACCTTCTTATCCAAAATCCACACCAATTTCAACTTCTACAACTTCTGAATCTCCAAAATCCACTCCAAAGCCAACAGAAGCTCCAAAACAAACTCCAAAACCAACTGAAGCTCCAAAACAAACACCAAAGCCAACAGAAGCTCCAAAACAAACACCAAAACCAACAGAAGCTCCAAAGCAAGCTCCAAAACCAACAGAAGCTCCAAAGCAAACTCCAAAGCCAACTGAAGCTCCAAAGCAAACTCCAAAGCCAACAGAAGCTCCAAAGCAAACTCCAAAGCCAACAGAAGCTCCAAAGCAAACTCCAAAACCAACAGAAGCTCCAAAGCAAACTCCAAAGCCAACAGAAGAACAAGGAAAGAGAAAGACAATTGATAAAACAAAGTATACATTAAAAGAATTAAACAAAATGATTGATGAATTAATCAAAGACACTGAAAATTATACTATTGAAGGAGAAAACGCAAAAGAACTTAAACAAAACATTAATTCTCTCAAATATTTCGATGTCTATCAAGAACACAAAGGTCCCAAACAATCAGCATGTACATTTGAATACAGCTTCAACAAACCTGTTAACATTCACAAGATTTCCTTTGCTCCAACATCAGATAAAGACCACGTCAAAGACTTCAACATCCATATTTTAAATGGAAGAAACACAGTCATTATACCTATGAACACAAGTTTGCCTGATACTTATGAATACGTTCAAGATTTCACCCTCCCTCATGTATTTAATACAGCAAAGGTTCAAATTTCCGATAAATCTGGAAGAACTAAAAAATGCACTATTCCTGAAGTTGCATTCTATGGTCCACTAAATTGAGCACCGTATATTTATGTTATTCCGAATAAAAAGTATATTTTTCAATTATTCAATATTTTTGTGATTCAATTATCCAAGTTTATCACATAAAAAGGAGTTTAAAGTAGCTACATATATATCTTACTCTTTCATTCCTATTAGAAACTTTGTCTATATCTCATAAATGTTGAATTTTGAGAAATGAATCATCGTTTGTATAGGGATTGTAATTATCTGAAATTAAATGTGTACTTAAAATTGCTTCTAGTTCATAACATATATAACAAATACTGTTTTGTTGACAATTCACATCTAAATTCATTAAAAATTGATATTGATTATGTAAAATCGATGCAGAAACTTTGCAATCTGTGTGGATTGATGCTCCAAATGTTAAAATCTACTTACGGCTGTAGGTTATAAATTTTCAAAAAATCCATAAGGGTGCCCTAAAGACGATAGACAATCCTCAGAAAAATTCGAAAAAAAAAATCAAAAATCGCAAAATTCCTGAATTCTTAACATCTTTTGGATTTTCTAAATCAGGTAGATATAGCATATTATGGCTAAGAATGATAATATATGAAAATCCAAAAAAGACTAATATTGATATATATGATGATGTAGGGTTGTTAAAAATATCAAAAATTAGCGTTTTGAAGACACCATGGTGTCTTATAATTTTCCCCTCCTTATTGGCGTGGAGTAGGGGTAATTTTAGCTAAAAGTGACACGCCTGTAAAAATGATACACCCGTGAAGGATGTGATTACCGATCGGTAATTTCGACAGTTTAGAATTTAAAATTTTTTATGGAACTGTTGCGAGTTTCATAAAGAATTTAAGGAATATAAGCAAAGATTTGAATCAAAATCTTAGACCTAAGCCGCTCGCTTCGCTCGCGCAAATTACAGAATTTGGATGCAATACCCCTCAATTCATTGTTGAGAATGCCAAGTCTTTTCAAGATAAAATTATTACAGATTTCCACCTTCAAATTTATACAACATTATAAAAATTTATGAATAAAAACTTGATATAAAATAACATTTTTATTTTTACTAAGAAAAAAAAAGGTTTTTGATAATAAATTTATTTTATTTCGAAAAAGTAGCAATAATCGTAAAAGGGTATTGATAGGCTTGCTAAAGTAACTAATTTTAGCTGTCAAATACTTTTGTATTTTGAAGTAAATTAGTATAAATTTGTTTTTACTTTTATTTCGAAAAAGTAGCAATAATCGTAAAAGGGTATTGATAGGCTTGCTAAAGTAACTAATTTTAGCTGTCAAATACTTTTGTATTTTGAAGTAAATTAGTATAAATTTGTTTTTACTTTTATTTCGAAAAAGTAACAATAATCGTAAAAGGGTATTGATAGGCTTGCTAAAGTAACTAATTTTAGCTGTCAAATACTTTTGTATTTTGAAGTAAATTAGTATAAATTTGTTTTTACTTTTATTTCGAAAAAGTAACAATAATCGTAAAAGGGTATTGATAGGCTTGCTAAAGTAACTAATTTTAGCTGTCAAATACTTTTGTATTTTGAAGTAAATTAGTATAAATTTGATATTATTTTAACTCCCTTTGAAAACCTCAATTTTCCATACAGAGGGAACGGGAATAGCATCCAATATTCCCTGAGAATGGTTGCGCATTCTCAGTTCCCTCTATATTTCGAACGAAGCTCTCATCGGTCTTTTTTTTAATACTAAACGTTTTTTTCCCTGTCACTTTTAGCTAAAATTTGGGTTTGCCATTGGCGTGTAGAAATAAATGCGCCAATAGATTGAAGAAGAAGAATTGTTTTTCTCTTAATGAACTTTAATCCTTTTGATATAAGAATATTAAAAACATTAATATAATTTCGATTTCGGAAATTAAATTTCCAAATTTTTTGTCGATTTCGGAAATAACAGGATCCCGCATCCAACACGCAACAACAAAACACAAAACACACTTTTTGGTTCTTTCATCGTTTTAATCGTAATTTAGTAGTATATGTTGAAGGGTTTAGTGACTTTTTTTGTTTCATCTATATATAGACGATGCATTAAAATATATTTATTTATAAAAGATAAAAAATTAACATTAATTTTAAAATAATTTATTTTTTTATCTTTTATAAAAGAAGCTATATATAGATGATGTCAGATATTCCGCGATTAATTAAACATTGTTTAAATCCTGAATGGGTTAAACTTCAATTTAAAAAGGAAGACTGTGAATTATTAAATGAATATGAAAGCCAAAATAAGCTAATGAGGTATAAATATAATGATAAAGAATATTTAATTTCATGGAATCAATGGAGTCATAATCAAAGACCTCATAAACGAGAAGAAGAAATTGAAAATAATGAAATGGAAATCATTGATGACATTAAAGAGGATGGAATTCCTAAATTTTGTAGAAAAACCTTTAGAACTAAGTTAGGAGCATATAAACGTAGAGTATTAAATCCTGAATATCTTAAACATTTATTTAAAAAGGAAGACTGTGAATTATTAAACGTTAATGAATATGAAAATGCTAAATCAAAACTGAGATATAAATATATTGGAAGTGATGAAAGGTGTAAAGATAAAGATAAAGTTTATTCAGTTTCATATAATAACTGGCACACGTTGGGGATAAGAAAACATTTAGGAGATTATGGTAAAAGTTCCGAATTCTTCAAATCTAGTATGTATGAGAGAGTAAAAGAAATCAGATATAATTATCATTCATGAATGAAAAATAAACTTTAAAAATTCATGTCTTACATTTTTGAATAATTTATTTTTTTAATTCGTATGAAAATGAGTGGATCAAGATTCGTAACCGTCAATCAATTAATGGATGCTCTTTCACCAATTCTTGAAAATGTTAAACAAGTAGATGTTTATTTCGATGATTATGTAGAAAGTTTATATTATAAAGGTAAGTTTAATATTAAACCTATTGCTTTTGCATTTGATAATAAATTAATTGAAAATGCAAAAATTTGGGAATTAATTCCAGATATTGAATATATAACGAATATTAATGATAAATGGTTTAAACGAATTCCAACCACAAAAGTTCTTTGTAAATTAATGATCAAAACTGAGGAAAAAGAATTTAACGGGTTTAAATATCATCCAAATAAAGTTTCAGAACTAGAAAATGAAAAACTTCAGAAAAAATTAAACGATAGACTTTCAAATGATCGTATTGAAAAAATAAATAAACTAGCAGAAGTTGCATTTAATAATGAAATATTTGATGAATATAACCTTGAACTCAGTGATGGACTTTAAGTCCTGGGCTTTAAGGACCCGGGCTCAACGAGTCATGATTTATGAAATCAATTATTTGATTCATTCGCTCTTCAATAATTTCTATTCTTTTTGTTAAATCATCAATTTTCATTAATGAGGTGATTCTTGATTGAGGAATAGATTTCAAACTAACCACCCCCTTTATTTTTGAAATTTTGAATCCATGACCCTCCGGGTCTTGGACTCTGTCCTCAACTTTAAACATTTTATTCAATTTACACGTTGTCAATTCTTCAAATAATTTTTTATTATTAGCATAATAGTCATTAAATTCTTCAACAGATGAAAAAATTTTTATTTCAGTAATTGGTTTAACAACGTTTATTTTTTGTTGAACATCTTCACTTTCATTTATTTCTTCCTTCTCTGTTTCATTTATTTTTAAAATCGGTTTCATTTATCATTAAATAAAAATTAGAATATAAGTGATGAAATATATTTTTTAATTAATATTAAATCAGAGATGGCGGCAGGATTCTTTAAAAAATTATGGGAAGGAATTAAGAAAGCTGCAAGTTGGGTTCATCAAAAGATTATTAAACCCGTTGCAAACTTTTTGGCACCAGTAGCGAAAACGGCAGGAACTATCATAGGAGGAGTATTAGGTGCTAAAGCAGGTAATCCAGCGATGGGAGCACAAGCAGGTAACGCAGTTGGTGGAATTGCTGAAGGAATACTTAATAAAATAGGAGGAAAGTAGTGGAAAAATAAATAAATATTATTTTTATCTCAATATCGGTTGTAGTCGACGATAAACCTTATCTCCTTTATTTAATACTTCCCTTACCGGAACATTAGGTGCTATTTGTTCAGCAACGTCACTAATTGCTTCTTTATTCTTAAATATCCAATTTGCTCCTTTCTTAATCCCTTCCCAAACTTTACTCGCTCCTCTTTTTACTTTATCCCACAGTTTCTTAAAGAATCCTGCAGCCATAGTTGATTATTTCATTAAAATTAAAAATTCATTTTCATCTTTTAATTTTGATTTTTTATTTATTAATAAATGACGACTAACTATTTGGTGCCAAACACTAAACCGATTAATGGAAATGTATTTCATTCATTCGAAAAGATAAATGAAATATTCGCAAAGAATGACGGTAGAAGATATTATAGAGAACTTGAAAGTTCATGCTATGACTCTGATACTCCATATTTTGATGATAAACAAACTCATTTAAGAATTACAAATCCGGCTCATGATGTGAACCAATTAGGTGACACATATATTAAACGCAAAGTTAAAGCAACTCTTGTTTCAAATAAAGCTTTCACATGTGATGCCGCTTTTAAATGCATACGTTTATTCGTTGGTTACAAATCATCAAATCAAAGCTTTAAACAATTAGAAGTAGAAACTGAAAGAGGTGATGCCGGTTATCTTCAGATGGATTGCGCCCGTGAATCTTTCGCATTTGCAACATATAAACCAAAATCAGAAAGGAAAGTTAAAAAGTTTGTTCATTCGTTATATAATAATGTTCAAAAATATGATAACTCAGTATGTGGTAAATATATTGACCCTTCAGAAGTTTTCAAGAAAGCAAATGAAGAAGTTGATGTCACTTTTGATATGATTATTCCGGTAAATGATTTGTTAGCATTTCAGGCGTTCGATGATTATCCTAAATCATTTGGTGAAATCATTCTTAAATATTATGTTTTCAGGGATACTTTAGTATTTTGTCAGGTTGACCCGTTAAGAGTTGCTGATTTACAAAATTACGTTTATGAAAAGATAACTGATGAAAATTATGAAAAGATTATGAATCATGTTTATAAATATGATCGCAAATTCCAACAAATCGGACTTCCTGCCAAATTAATTACAAGCTTAGCCGCTACATCTGCTGACGCAACAGTTGAAGACGTTATTATTTCATGCACAAAGATGGAAGTTTTAGAGGATAAATGCATTACACCAGGATACGGTTTAATTGAAGAATCAGTTAAAGCAATACCACGTTTATTCAGTAAGGAAGATCCATTCATGATTCCAGCTCAACATATTGACGTTCGTTCACTAAATGGAGGTTGCATCACTCCTGAAGGTATTAGCTCAGATTTCTCATACGCTCTTCATAATGTTACAGATGTTGTGTTAACATTTCCGAAGAATGCAATGCAAAGAACGGTTTTAGAAAAATCCAATGCTTCGAGGTCTTCAGGTCACTATAGATTCCAGAAACTTCCCCGATCAAGCGATGACCACAGTGGGCGACATATTCTTTACACGTATGCTTCAAGCTTCTGATTTAGATGGAGTGAATGAATGCACAGAAGAATACGAGGACTCATTAACTAGACCACTGAATGATGATAATGGCACACCATTAGCTAGAACATGGAAAGACCAAACTTCATTCTTATGCACTATTCCAGTTCAACGTGATGGAGCGGGTATATTCTTTGATGGATTAGAAACTTTCAATTCACAAGTTACAGTACAAGTGAAAGCTTATCCAATCATTCAGGGTGAAAATGACACTTACTGTTCAAAGGTGACAAATCCTCCTCAGGTTTGGTTTACTAGGACTACATATTGGACATGGACACCGGATGAAGGTTTGAAATATCATCCAACAGGTACACCACCACAGTATAGAAGTTCATATGATGAAATATTGATGAATAGAAATGTATAAAATTATAAATTATTTTTGATTAAATGGATTTAAATTCATCCACCCCTTATGAAGAATTAGCGGGAGTATATAATACATACGTAGATGATATGATTAATGAAGCATTGAGTGATAATAGAAATGCTCTATCTAAGGAAAAATTAATGAAAATTCCATATTCTGAATGTTACTTAAATTCAATCACTGCAGCAATTGGTAAACAAAATAAAGGTAAAACATTAACGATATTAAAACAAATTATCATTATTGCTAACACTTCCCCCCATTCACATGTGTTAATTTATATCAACCGTTTCAGGTTCACCTTCAGATGATACATTTGAATCTTTAAAGCATTTAATCAAAATTCCAATTATTTATTATCACAAGAAGAAGCAGAAGATTATTTAAAAAACTTTGTAATGTATAAAGAAAAATTATATAATACAATCAAGAAGCAAGGATTAGAGGATAAAATTATTGATAAACAACGGGATGAATTATTTGAAACACTTTCTATTTCAAATTTTGATAGAGAATTTTTGCATTCACTCATTTTTCTAGATGATGCGGTGAAATCAAAACTAATAACAAATGAGAAATCATATTTTAATCAGTTATTAACTCAATGTCGACACATTCAGTGTTCATTCTTCATGGCTGTTCAATACTTTAAAGCATTAAGCACAAACATTAAATCAAACCTGTCCACCCTTTTCATTTTCAGTGGTTTTAGTCGTCAACAGTTGAACGTTATGCTTTATCAAGTGAATTTACCAATGAGCATTAATGAACTTTACACACAATATCAACAATTAGGAGAACATGGAAAAATAATAGTTGATTTAAATAAAGGTTCCATTAAATTCGAATAACTTTTTATAATTAATTTTTATTTTTTATTATAATTAAACATGACAGAAATTGCAAATCTTCTACAGGTTCCATTAAAACAAGGACAAACAAAAAGGGTGCATATAATAGAACTATGAAAGTTCCAGACGGAATGAAAGAATTAGTTCATATTGTTGCCGGTCTTCAAAAAGATGTTAAACAAAATGAGAAACGTTTTAACATTACCAGAAGCTCAAGCATATGCCAAACGTCATGGTCCAAATTGGGAAGCACATTGAAGCAGACATTACAGGTCCAAATGGAAAACCTGATGGTATAAATGAAGTTTTCGTTACTGATGGTCACGGTAATATTAAAGTCAAAATGGTATAAATTAACAATGACGGATTATCCTAAACGTAAAGCATATAATGAACATTATCCTATGCAATTTGATGAAAATGGAAAAGCTGTTAAACAATACATTGGAGAAGGTGAAAATGGTCCAATTAATTCATACCGTCATAATCCATATCTCTTATTTCAATGAAGAATTAAATGCTATTGAAGAGGGACCGGATGGATTACCACGATATTCTAACCAGTTGATGGTCAATATGCAAATTTAAGACCTGAAATTCCAGCTAAGAAATTCTTTAAAGTTGCTTTATTCGATCCAGTTTTCGCAAAAAAGATGAACTTAAACAGCAATTCCAACCAATTATAGTAGCAAGAATTGCATCAGGTGCTTTATCTCAAGCATTCAAAGATTTAATTAAGAAACCATTATATCAGCAACGAGGTTTAACTTATGATTTAGTTAAGGAATCAGATAAAAGAAAATTTGAGAAATCAATGATTATAAGAATGCAATTAATGAATATATTCGGTCTATTAATTTCGATGAAAATGCTAAAAATCAACTTCATGAACAAATACAGGAAATAATAGATTCAAAAGTTCCAGCAAAATAAAAGTTTAAATATATTTTTTTATTCGAATATAAATGAGAAGACGTTTCACTAGTCAAAAGAACACTAACGCAAAAGCAGAGATTACGGTGGTTATAACGTAAATGATGATAAATCACGAATTATTCAAAATGTTAAAGTTAATGTTAGCCCTGAATTAACAAGGTCAGCAACTCAACCAAATTTATTAACTCGTGACTTACCAAGAGAATGAAAGAGAATGAAGAAAACCATGAGAATGGAGACCCAATCATTTTATCTGAACCCGGTAAAGAACCCGTTGAAATCCCACATATCCAACATACCCCCCACCTCTTTCATCAAACATCGAGAACCCAGGAATCTACGATTACAGTCGCAATGCGCCATATAAAATAGACATTAATTCTGAATTAATGAAAATTTACCGTGATATAATAACTGATAATTATGATTCAATAATAAATTTAATTGACCAATCCGGTTTAATTATTTTACCTTATGAATCATTAATTCACATTATCGCCATTCTTTGTGATGTTCAGGATTCAGACGTTAAGATTCAATTTTTCATAGATGATGAGGTTTCATGCTGTGAACAGTTGCAAAAATAAATCCTATAAAGGATATTAGCACAATTAAGATATCAAAGAATGGAACAACAACTGAACTTCATTTAACATATAATGATATTTATAATAAAATAGTTGATGAATATAAAATATCACTTGAAAAATTCTTTGTTAAGGCATTTAATATTCAAGCATTAACATTATCGAATAATAATCCTTTGAATCATAATCAATAATAATTGACCTTTCACCAGTTTCTATCGTTTGTTTTATTTCTTTTTGTTCCCCACTATCCGGATCGGTCATTGTAATTGTTTTTGTTATAGTATCAGCTTTATCTTTAACTTCAATCTTTTTTCCATCGGGATATTTAAACCAAAATTCCAAAAATTCGATATTGTCAATCTGTTCATATTTTAATCTATCAATTACATTTTTAATACCATCTGAAAATCTTATGAAATGGTCATTATATGGGTTTGATTGAACTAAATTTGAATGAAGTGAAATATAACCGATGATGAATATGACATTGACTCATATTTTCTGAAAACACTAAAATTTATAACATGAATGAATTTCTTATTCGTTGAATTTATGAATTCTTGAGGTAATCTTATTCTAGTTTTATTTATCACTGGAAAATAACGCTTTACCATATTTTTAATCGTAATAAAAAAATGTCAATTATCAATATTATTTCGAATAATAACTGTGAATTAAATTTAACAGTTAGTGGAATTTATAATGTTACTCTCGTTTCTGTGAGTGGTAAATTTAATCCCATTCTTTTAGACCCTTCAGATTATATATCATTTATTAAAGATGACCATGAGCCGCATAGCGGCGGGGTCGTAGACCTAAAAACGTATGATATGTATATAAATAATGTGATAACGAAATGGGATATTAACATGATTTTAAGTTATTTAAATGAATCATTTATCGTATGGTATGAAGAAAATTTTAAATCAAAACCTGATAAACTTTTTGAACTTGATGAAATAAATAACCTTATTAAATTTCCGCTGAAAATTAAATTTTGTACTCCTCATCTTCGTTCATTGTTGGGGATATTAAATTTTGAAAAAGATGTTGGGGATGTTTTGTATTCTGACACTGGTTCCAATTTCATTTTAATCAAATGTGATAAAGTTAATACCCCAATGAGATTTTCACATCAAACATTAGACCCTAACTCTTACCCATCAATACAAAACATTTTATCCATCAACTTAAACATATTTTCTTTATCATATCCGTTTCAATTATCCGGGAATTCATTTATTCTTCATTCAAAAGATTTATCAAATATTAAATTTAGAATAACGACCTATTTGATTGTGATTTAGAATTATGAATGAAATATTATGGCAATTTCAAATAGAAAAAATAGGTGATGAGATAACAGATTAAATATTTATTTTTAAATCATAATAAATGATTAAACAACAGCAACCACAACAACTTAAGGCACAGACCATTACATACGCCATATATGCATATAATTCAAAGACGGCAGAACAAACGCAAAGGTTGAAATATGGAGATTTGGAGATAGTATTGAAAAATGACCATTTCGAATTCGTTTGCAAGGGTGGTGCAGTGATATCAAATATAAAAGAAATTTTATTTATGAATTCAAAAATTAAAGGAATAACGGATGATATAACATCAATTCCACCAGAAGAACAAAGATATTACGCATTAAATGCATTTCCTAAAGTTTTGAAGATTGGAAGATTTAATTTAAATGAGGAATTCATAGAAGGTTTCCTAAATGACATAATGGAGAAAGCAGATAAGGAATATGTGGATAGTGAGTTAATGAAGAAAGCAGATAAGGAATATGTTAACGAAAAAGATAATGAAATTAAAGAAAGTGTTGAATGGTATCATGAATGGACATCAAAGATTTTAAAAACTAAAGCTGATACAGGATGGGTTTCAGGATGTTTAGACCTTAAAGCGGATAAAACATATGTTAACGCTGAATTAAAGACTAAGTTAGAGAAGAAAGCGGATAAGGAATATGTTAACGAAATATACCAAAGTTTGATAGGAACAACAAAAAATATTGAAACTATTGTTGGCGACTTTTCTGTCAATGAAGAAAATAAATATTTTAGATGGGAGTTTGTACACTCCTTAAAAAATGGTATACGGTATAAACTCATTCCGAAAAATAACAATGAAATGTATGTAGGCTATATAAAGAATGATGGTACACAAGTTAAAGTTCCATTAGACAACAACTGCTACTTAAACTTATATGGAGACGAACAAAAGAAATATTTAAGAGTTTATGAAATGACAGATATGACAGATATGACATTGTCTAACGTAGCTCCAGCACCGTATTATTATGACTATGGTGTTGACGCACATGTAGACCCAAAAAAGCAAACATTATATTTAGATTATTATAGATATAAAAGATATAATGCAATAGAAAAAACGAGAATAGTATATTATTATACAGATGACAGAAATAAATATTATAGTCAAGATTTTACATACCCTGAAAACATAAGATTATATTATAAAAAATATTCTGACACAAACCAGAAGAAACCCGAAATAGTTACACTATATTTTAAGTTCAAAAGAGACAATCCTATATTATCTCATATGTTTGATTTAATGAACCCAGTAGGTTCTATTTATACATCTATGGATGCAAGAGGTCCTCAAGTAATGTTTGGTGTTGGTGCATGGGAACAAATAGTTGACAGGTTTTTGTATTGTGCAAACTCTTCAAAGGAAACAGGGGGAAGTAAAACGATTTCAGGTGAAAATTTACCTGCACATAGTCACTACATAGATTTAAGCACATCTCAAGCAGGTTGGCATAAGCATAGATATTGGGATTGGTCAGGAATGACAAAAGGTAAAGGATATGATGTTAAAGACGACGTTAAGTTTGCTATAAATTGTTACTGGAGTGACACTCAGGGAGAAGGAAACCATACACATTTCGTTTCAGGATATACACAAACGACGGGACAGAGTAAAGATTACATGCCACCATTTATGACTGTATTCGCATGGTATAGAGTTCAATGAATTCAGTCCAAAAATAATTAATTTCATTAGTTTTAAAATTATTTTTATTTATTTTTTTATTTTGTATGTAAGAACAGTAATGTCGGTCGAAGCACAGACGTTCACGAACAAATCTAATGGCGAAACATTCACAAAAGGCACTTATAATGGTATTGAAGTCTTACGTAGAGACAAGGATGGTTACATTAATGCAACAAAGATGGCAAGAGAAGCAGGAAAGTTAAACCATTTAAACAGATTTCTCAATAGTGCTAAAATGCAGGAAATTCTTGAGTTTTGGTTGAAAGAATACGGTCGAGCCAAAAGTGGCTCAACCTCAAAACAAGCATTTTATGAGCTTACTAAGGGCGTTATGAATGAATTCAAAGGTATTTACATACATGCTGACCTCGTTCATTTTGTTGCTGAATGGTGCTCTGTAAAGTATGCATTTTATGTCAAAGATATTATGGACTCCATAGACAAGAAAGTTCATGAGAAGTTAGATGAAGAAGAACTCGAAGATACAGTAGAAAATGCTAAACCTTTGTTTGAAGAAGAAGTTGGAAAAATGTGCGAAAAACAATTAGAACATGAACGTGAGATATGTTATGGTTATAGAGATTCTCCATACGAACTAGACCAATGGGAAACAAGAAGATTTAAAGAGAGAATTTAGAGAATATGAACTCGCTAAGATAGCATTTGAAGCTGCAGAAAAGAAGTTAAAAGTTTGGGGTTGTTTTGTACAAAAATATTGTGAGTAAATGAACCATTTATTTTTGGTCAAAGCTTCCACGAGAGAAAAGATTCCTCATTCGCTAAGGATTCCAAAAATGAAAAAATCATTGATTTCGGCTGAGAAAAAATAGCAAAACCCTTCTTCCACGGGAACAAAGAAATAAAGAAGAAATAAAGAAGAAATAAAGAAGAAATAAAGAAGAAATAAAGAAGAAATAAAGTAAATTTTTTATTTATTCCCGTGGAAGATAGAGCACTTTTATGATACTTTTTATTCACGACAAACAAGACAAATAAAGAAAATAAGAAAATACGGCGCTGTCGCGGTTCGAACCACAGACCTTGACCCCTCCATAACACCACCTTAGACCACTGTGCTACGTAGCCTGTCGACATAAGATTTTATAAATTGCATATTTGACGTAAATTTATTTCCCAGTTATTCAAAAAATAATTATTTTTGAAGAACTAAAGGTGCTACCATGTTACCATGTGCTACCAGGTCATTTAACTTCTCTGAAAAAGTGTGACAACATGACATTTTGACAACAACACAGGAGGAAGGTAGTTATGAATTATTTTTAAAGAACTAAAGGTGCTACCATGTTACCATGTGCTACCAGGTCATTTAACTTCTCTGAAAAAGTGTGACAACATGACATTTTGACAACAACACAGGAAAATATGATGCAGTCCAAAAATAAAGTTAGTTTTAAAATTGTTTTTATTTTTTATTCCTATATAAATGACAGCAACAAACAACAACAGCAACTATATCGTTTCTGATGAAAAAGTTATTGATTCATTAGCTGAGGAATTAGTTGTGGCAGAAACTAAAACCCTCAACGAAAGAATTGGTGAAAACAGGATTGATTTACATAACTACCTCAAACATGATGGAGGAAGAGGAAGGAAAACTGGTATGGCTTTATTAGTAAATAAAATTTCAAATTTAACGATTATAGATGTTGATATCAATAAATCGTACAATGATGAACTTAAAGAAACAGTTAGAAAAGACATTTTATCAAAACTTTCGGATAAAGATGTTATCGTTAAAACCGCATCAGGAGGTCTTCACATTTATTGCAACACTAATTTCTTCTATTCAACCTCGAACAGAATGATTAAATGTTATTCCTGCAATGATTATGATATTGACATAATGACTTCTATGGATGATTCAAAGCGTTCATTAGTGGTTATGGCTGATTCAAGAGTTCGCAAGAATGCAACAGAACCAATCAAAACATACTCATTCATTCGTGGAAGTTATGATTCAACATTAACTAGAACAGTAAACGATATATTAAATGATTTGAATATTAAGGTAAGAGTTGAACAGAAGAATGAAGAAATAAAGAGTATAAAATGAAAACAAAGATGTAAACATTGACGATAAACTTGCCCAGAGCATAGTTGATGGCATCTGTGATTTTGAAGTACATAATGACGGTGGAAACATGAATTTAGAAAAAGAAGTTACATTATTCACACTGTTTCAAGCAATTAATTCGTTACCTAATCATTTAATTAATGAAGCATACGATAACGTTTATAACTTCTGCAGTTTAACAGAAAATGCAAAAAGTAATTTTGAAAAAGCACGTGATAGATATGCACATTTAATGACTTCTCCATTTGTTTTAGTGAAGATTCTAAAACTATATCAAAAGGAATATTATGATGAATATGTTTTACCTTTATTACGTAAGCCAAAAATAACATTTGATATAAACTTGATGACTCGTTTTTGATAACAGATATTAGACGCAAGGCTGAAAATCATCAGTATAAAAACAGTTCTGAAGTAATTGAGGATTTATCACGTGTAATCCGTTTTGTAGATTGTGGAAACAAATACTTCATTCAAAAGGACTATAATATCCACGGCAAAATGAATCAAATATCATTCGTTCTTCAATCAAACATGAAAGAGTCACTCAAAATGATTAAATTATTTAAAGAAGAAGGTAAAACCATAACAGCATGGGACGTACTATTAAATCAATTATCCTCATTAACCGTTAAGGGTGTTTGCTTTAAATCTGATTCCACAGATGTTTTCTCAACGTTTCAGGGTTATAAATACAACATTCTTGAAAAGCCTGATTACTCAAAAATTGAGATGTTTATGAATTTCATTAAAGAAGCCATTTGTGATAATAACGATGAAGTGTATAAATACCTCTCGGCTGGATTGCATCAATGATTCAACATCCCGGAATCAAGAATGAAACAGCAATTATTTTGAAAGGACTTCAGGGAACAGGTAAAAACAGATTTACAGACATTATTTCTGAACTTCTCGCTGGTTATTCATGTAAAAACATTACCGAAATAAGTGAGCTAACGGGTAATTTCAATTCGGTTGTTGAAAATAAAATGTTTCTTGTACTTAATGAACTCAAGAATGTTGGTGAAGATGGACTCGCAAACTTCAACGCTTTGAAATCAATTATTACGGATAATGAGATAAGAATTAATGAAAAGAATCAACCCAGAAGAACAGCACAGAACGTTGCAAACTTCATTTTCGTAACTAACAACGTCTACCCTGTCAAAATTGAAGTTGGAGACAGAAGATACGTAGTTTTAAGAGTTAATGATAAATTCAAGGGTCAATTTGATTACTTCAAGAATTTAATGGATTCATGCACAAAGGAATTTTATGATAATTTACTGACGTATTTTATCAATTACGACCTTTCATCATTTAATGTACGAATCATACCGATGACTGAAGCCAAACAAGATTTAATAGAATTATCATCAAATCCTTTAGATGTATGGATAAATACACATTATGATGAATTGTGTGCAGGTATGACGTGTGAAAATGCTCTATTCTGCAAACCATCAGACATGAAAGACAAAAACTTTCAAATGAGTATTAAGGATAAATGTGATAGGAAACATAGAAGAATAGACGGTAAACAAACATGGTATTATGTTTTGAAAGAAGAAATGAAAGGATTATAAAACAGGTTGAACCAAACGATAATGAGGAATCATTTACTGATGATGAAATACCTGTAAATGAGCCGCTAAGCGGCGAGACCTGAAGGTCTAGCTTTATAAAGTATGATTGGAATTTATTTTTGCATTAATCCTGCTGTGTTGTCAAAATGTCATGTTGTCACACTTTTTCAGAGAAGTTAAATGACCTGGTAGCACATGGTAACATGGTAGCACCTTTAGTTCTTCAAAAATAATTCATAACTACCTTCCTCCTGTGTTGTTGTCAAAATGTCATGTTGTCAACATGGTAACATGGTAGCACCTTCAGTTCTTTAAAAATAATTCATAACTACCTTCCTCCTGAACTGTTGTCAAAATGTCATGTTGTCACACTTTTTCAGAGAAGTTAAATGACCTGTAGCACATGGTAACATGGTAGCACCTTTAGTTCTTTAAAAATAATTCATAACTACCTTCCTCCTGAACTGTTGTCAAAATGTCATGTTGTCACACTTTTTCAGAGAAGTTAAATGACCTGGTAGCACATGGTAACATGGTAGCACCTTTAGTTCTTTAAAAATAATTCATAACTACCTTCCTCCTGAACTGTTGTCAAAATGTCATGTTGTCACACTTTTTCAGAGAAGTTAAATGACCTGGTAGCACATGGTAACATGGTAGCACCTTTAGTTCTTCAAAAATAATTCATAACTACCTTCCTCCTGTGTTGTTGTCAAAATGTCATGTTGTCACACTTTTTCAGAGAAGTTAAATGACCTGGTAGCACATGGTAACATGGTAGCACCTTTAGTTCTTCAAAAATAATTAATTATTGAATAACCTAAAAACCATGAGACTTTGTCTCCGGACTCTTTGAGTCACTTAACGATAAAATAAGTGATAACAAATTTTTATTTTTATCATAAATGAATACCCCACAAGCTCAAAATTTACCACGAATCATAACAAGGGAGGAAATGATAAAAATGATGCAAGAACATGTTAAAAATAACAAACCACTAAAATTGAGAAAATGTGGTTATGCAGTAATGATGGAAAGAGAGATGTTGTCGAAGAGGAATAAAAATTAAATTTGGATAGAGTTTAAAAATTCATCTTTATTAAATTCATCTCTTCCAATCAATTTATTTATTCTATTAAATTCTTTTATTTTTGCTTCACTCAGTTTAAGGATTGAACGATAAGTTTCTAATTTTTCGATTATTTCTTTCCTCTCTTTATCGTTTTCAACCCCACCACATTGTGGCTTCTTTTTGTAATAACATATTTTTGATTTAATTCTGTTTAGTTTCTTTTTATATTCATCGTCTGGACTCTTGACTGCTTCGTTGTCACTCATTTCTTACGAAATAAAAAAAATTAAATATTATTTAAATATAATGGAGTAATAAAATAAATTGGAATTTCTATTAATTTATTGTCAACTTCAACTAATGCATTACCGTTAATATATCTAACAAATTCAGCCATTGTGTCAAATCTTCGTCTTCTTTTTGTCATTGATTTATCAGTTTTTCCATAATCGAGATGAATCAAAACTTTATCCCCTTGTTTAAAATTCATGAGCCCCGAATTAATTTGTTCACGTTTAACATCATTCAACCTTTCATTTGCTTTCTAATATATTCCCATTCTTTTGAAATATCATTTTTCATTTCACTGGTTTCATGTTTATTGTTCTATGCCATGTATTATTGTAATAATATACTAACTGCTGTATGATGGAGTCATGATTTCCATCCCAGTATATCTGACCGTTAACCCCTAACGCATCTCTAAGAGTTCTCATTACCGCATCAACTATTTTATTATGAAACGTATATGGAGAGGATGAAAAGTAAAAATTAATTTGTGGGAAATAATGAGTCATAGCTGCCTGAAATCCTTTATCACCATCACCCCTTATATTATCTACTCTTTCATGATCTAGTAAGTATTGTATAGCTCTTCTTGTTTCCTGTTCTGTTTTCCCTTTCACCGGAATGCAATATAAATATCTAGTGTTAATGTTAATGGCGAATAAATAAGTAACGTTTCCTTTTGAATATTCCAGATGATCGATTTCGTATGAATATGGATATAGTGCAAATGAAGGGCGACTAAATTTTTCCTTTAACGGTTGAATTTTTGGGTCGGTTGGTTTATTTAATATCTTGAAATCCTTTTTAAAATCTTTTTGCTTCTTTAATGTTTGAAATGGATATAATAAAGTGAATGATGAAGGATTAACTGAAGGAGGAGGTACTACCGTTGGAGGTTTTGGTATTGCAAGTGGTTTAATTTTATCTGCTTTGATTTTGGATGATGAAGTTTTGGATTTCATTCCCCCCTTCATTAATTCTGGATGTATTCTATTCATTTGTTTTAAATATGCTGTATATAAAGGTTTGATATACTTTCCCGCTTCGAGTTTATGTTGAAGGATGAATTCCAAAAGTTGATCTTCATTTAAAAGTCGGGCTGAATATGGTTTAACTAATGAATCATAAATTAAAGCTTGTGCTTCATTTATGGTCTGAAGGACCTGGGCGTTTTGCACCTTTAGCTGTTGAACATTTGCTACTTTCTCTTTTGGTGTTGTTTTCGGCTTTTTCTTCTTTTGTTTTTGTTCCTTTGGCTTTTGCGGCTCAGGATTATATAATTTATATAATTCATCAATATCTTCTTCTGTTAATACTTTATTTTTGAAATCTTTCAATTGTTTAAGTTGTGATTTAGTTTTTCCCTTTGTATATTCATTATTTTTAATTTTGTCTTTAATTTTAGAAATTATTTTATCATGATATTTCAAAATTTCATTTTTATAATACGGATAATAATAATCCATATCATCACCCGTTATATTTTTATTATGTTTTTGGAGATATGATTTTAATTCATAATAATTAGGAAAATATTGATTAAGTACTAAATCATCAATTAAATTTTCTAAATCTGCATTATCCATTTATATAAAAATAAAATAAATGTTTTAAGGGTGCCCACCTCTTTGAATCATAGTATCAAAACCATTATTTACATATTGAATCACATTATTAACGGTTCCTTTTGTCTCTTCTGTAGCATTTTTATTAAAAAAAATTTTAAATTCATGACTCAACCCCTACGTTTTTAAATTATATTAAATAAATGGCATACAACATCCATTTTCACAACATACAGCCTTAGTGTGTGCTCCTGTTAATGCAGTCTTATCGATTGTTAAGCGAGTCATTGACCCGTTTTTAAGTTGTAAATTAATATTCTGACCATCGAAAATAACTTTATCATTTATTATATCCAAATAATTTTTAGGTGTTAATTGCTTATTTTGTCGTAAACTAACACCTTTCATTTTTTGTGCAATCTTTTTGAAGGAGTCTTCACCTATCATCCCATTAAATGATGTATAACACTTAGGGCATAACGCCAAGTTATCACCTTGTTTCTCAATTGCTAAACCCAATAACTTCTTCTCATGTGCTTTTTCTTCAGCTTTATTCTTTAATTTAGGTTTAAATTTCTCATCAAAACAGAAGAAAATCAAATGGTGCGAATTTGAAAATGTTTTTATCATAAAATTTTTTATCGGTTACAATCGCCTGAAATGCTTGAGTGTTAGGAAGATTTGGATCGCCAGCAATAGCCCAATAAGATGAATCAGTATCACCTTCAATGAAATGAAAACGATTAATCCATGCATTTATACATAAAATCATAAATGAAAACTAAATACCAGTATTTTGCGTTATCTAAAGTGAAGAATGCCTCTTGTAAACATGTATCACATCTATAAAATCTATCTTTGAGCATCACTTGATACGTATCCTCTCCTATTTCTCTTATGTTTTTAAACTTATTTGACATACATGCAACGCGTGCCTTCTGTGCATTCATTATTTTAGTCTTTGTGTAATTTTGTGTATTCATTGCATCGTAACCATATGATCCATTAAGTGAAATCTTGCAAAATAAACTTTTTCCTTTATTTCCTTCTAATTCAGCCTTTTGTCTTTCGTTCATAAATTCGTTCGCAAATTCATTAAAACAAGTGTTTTTCGTAAATGTTAAAATTGATTGAATATCATCGATGATAAAATGAAATCTGTCGATTAGATACCAAAGATAATAAGAAGAAAATGGTTGATATTGGTTGTGTTTGATGCTAACTGAGTTAATTTCCTCTGTTTCTGGTCAACTGGTAGATTGTTTGATTTCATGTAATTATACATAAAACCGCCAATTGTTTTTTTCATCTGTGATAATATCTAAGTTTCTTATTATCGTAAAAAGTTTATGTAATCATTAATGTATTTTTCATCAATGTGACCCTTTACTTCAGCCACGAATAAAGTATTTTTCTTTCTAATAATTCCCAGTGCTTTTGCTTTCTTTGTTGCTGTATCACAAATGATAACACCATTCAATCTTCCCGGCATATACATTTTATGGTCAGTATATTGAATGAAATCATGAGGATTAGATGAAAATGATGAAGGATATAATGAATTAAAATCAACACCAACGAAATGAGTCATAATGTTGGTGGTGTCCTCATTTGATACAGTTTTAGTTTCTGGACTATATGAAAGTTTATTAATGTGCGTGATTCCTTTAAGATTTACTCTATGTTGAACATTTGATAGACCACCAGTAATTCCATTACGGAGAATGTGATAAGCTTCAACTGAATCTAAAGTCATTGGTAAATTATTTTTTAATGCATAATTTCTTAAATTGATTCTTAAACGTTGAACATCTTCATCTTTATTTGATTTTACGACATTACAATAACAACACATTAACTGACAATTTTCTTTGGTATGTGTTTTTCATTATCGATTCTATCTAATGTTGGTTTATTTGCATATGTAAACGCTTTACCACACATTTTGATTTAGATGAAAGGATTAAATCGTGATAGTATTGAAAATCATCCATTGAAACATTATTTTTAGTATCTCTTTCTGCTTTTTCATCTTGTTTCTTATATGATTCAATTTTATATTTCCAATACTTTTCGTTAATTCAAACTTGATTCCACATTTTCTTCTTCTGGATATTTTTCGTTAGGATTAAAGTCTTTATATGCTAAAGCGTAACGAATCATTGATGCATTCGATGATAAAGAAAGATTATGAAGCATGTCAATTTATAACAAATGTTTCTTCAATAATTTTATCAATTGGGTCAATCATAATTTCAACATCTTTATTGCAATAATGAATAAAATATTCTAATCTATTCTTAAAATTTTAGCATCATTGAGATATATTTGATAATCACTATCTGATATAGTTTCTTGAGTTAATGCTGAATAAAATGAATCTTTCGTGAATGGTTCCTCTTTATATAATTCTTCGTAATTTTCTTTTCCCATGTGATGAATTGATAAGGGAAAAAGGATTTAACACGTGATTTATTGTTTCCGAAATCTTGAGTGAATTGGTCTAATGTCCCACCCGCTATATAATTTCTGATGTCAATAAATCTCAATTCATATGGAACGTTTGTTTTCTTTACAATGATTGCTTAAATTGAGAAGAGAACCCAGCATTGATTTTATTTTCCATTTTGCAGTGTTTAAATCACGAAGAATTAAATTTAAATCAAACTTTCCCGAATTAAAACCTATGATATTCACTTTATTGAATTCCTCATCTAGAAGTTCTTTAAATGCTTCCTTTTGTTTCTCATTTAATGTTTGCAACTTCATTAATTCTTCATATTGTTCAATATTTGATTTAGCAACTAATGAACAGGTTGAAAATAAAAATTCAATCCAATCAGAAATAAAAGAATCACTTGAAGTTAAGCAAAAATTCCTCGTAAATGTTTTATCACGGTCTACGACCTCACCGCTTCGGTCTGAAAGACCTTCAGGACTCAAAGAGTCCGTTTGCGGCTTTAATTTAACCGTTGATGATACCATGAATGGTTTTAAGTAAGCGTTCAAAGTTGCACATTCAGAAAGTTGAAGTTCTTCTTTAGTCTCTAATGTTTCAAAGTCAAAAGTAATATAATATCTTGTTGGTTTATAATATTCCTGCAAATTGTGAGCTAATAGCCATTGATATATCTTCTGTTTCGTGATATGTGGTGCATATGGTTGTTGTGTGTTTTGCAATTGAACGTCTTGAATTAATCTTCCATTATTTTCTTTACATTTCTCACAATGTTTTAAAAATCTTCTTTGGTTTTTCCTTTCTGGATCATCACGGATAGAATAAACTTCTTCTTTGCAAAAGGGGCAAACTTTATATCCTGTGAGTGCTTCAACGTCTGTTATTCTGTCAGCGTGAAGTTTTCCACATGGACTCTGTGTTAATAAAATATTTACTGTTTCAAATTCTGGATCTATCATTATTGAATCCACTAATGAAAAGTCTACCTTGTTAATGTCTACGTCTTCTGGTTGAGGATCACAATAATAAAAATCAATATTAACGTTTAACATTCTTGCTAACCTCTCACTTTCTGATGAAATGCAAACCTTCATATGCATCTATTGCTTCGTTTAAATAACTTCTACGAGTTTTAGGATTAACACCATCAGGAATGTTATAGAAGCGTTTAAATAACCTTCTACCTTCTGCTCTAATTTGATTATCATTCATTTTAGCTGTTCCGTTTTTGTTCATTTATGTAAGAATAAAAATTAAAAAAATAAATAAAAATAAAGTTTATTTTTTAAAGTCCGAGACTCAGAGAGTCCAGGGCTAAAGTCCATAAAATGAATTAAGAACACATAAATTTTTATCATCTGCGACGTGACGAATACATTTTAATTTACTCAAGAATGTGTACCCTGATACATTAAATCTAATTCCTGTCTTATTTAATTTCACAACTTTGAAAAGGAATGTATGAATAGCTATAAAATGATGAGAAGATGTTTTATGGGTTGCTTCCATTTTTTCTGAAATAAATGAATAAATATAATGTTTATAAGTTTTCATATCTTTTATGTTCTTAATAACGAATGGTATAGACCTTTCCACTTCGTCTTCCTTCGGTGCTGTTCTTTCATATGAAACATTATTAGTATCTTCAATAATGAAACCACAATCACATAAAATTTTATAGGTTCCAATGGTTTCTTTTGATATTTTATCTAATAAATCAAAAACTTTATCAACACCCGTGCATTTATTTAAATAATAATTTGTGTAAATATCATGATCTTCTTTCTTAATCGTATTTGTTGCATATGTTACATTTTTCAATGCTTTTTTGAATTTTTCAGAATCGAGAGGAGGTGAAAGTAGGATACAGGGGTATTCTTCATTATCAATAAATTGTAACTTATGTTTATGAATAAATTTTGTACCTTCTTCTGAAAGTGTTTCGTCAATATCACCATCTAATAAATTTTTAGTAGATTCCAAAAAGTAATTTTTATATCTTTCTTCATGAGATTTCTGTACTTCTGATTCTGAAGCTGGGATATTCATTAAACCCTCTACTTCATTCTCATTATATTTTTCAACTTCTCTTAATTCCTTAATTTTTTCATCTATTTCATCTCTTATTTTTTCCAGTCTTTCAATTTCATCATATTCATCATCTTTAATCCGTTCTTCATAATATTCAGGGAAAACATCAGGTTCTTTAGGTTTTTCTTCTTCAGATGTGGGATATAAGAAATTTATAACATCATCTTTATTCATTTTTCCATCATAATCTAAATCATTTAAAAACTCCGCGAATTTTTTACAATTTCTTAAATAATATTTATTAACTTCATAACTCGCCTCCTCTAATATATCCTTTATTTCCTCGTTTGTGAATCCCAATTTTTTAACGTCGTTAGTCTTGACACTCATTTTCATACGAATTAAAAAAATAAATTATTCAAAAATGTAAGACATGAATTTTTAAAGTTTATTTTTCATTCATGAATGATAATTATATCTGATTTCTTTTACTCTCTCATACATACTAGATTTGAAGAATTCGGAACTTTTACCATAATCTCCTAAATGTTTTCTTATCCCCAACGTGTGCCAGTTATTATATGAAACTGAATAAACTTTATCTTTATCTTTACACCTTTCATCACTTCCAATATATTTATATCTCAGTTTTGATTTAGCATTTTCATATTCATTAACGTTTAATAATTCACAGTCTTCCTTTTTAAATAAATGTTTAAGATATTCAGGATTTAATACTCTACGTTTATATGCTCCTAACTTAGTTCTAAAGGTTTTTCTACAAAATTTAGGAATTCCATCCTCTTTAATGTCATCAATGATTTCCATTTCATTATTTTCAATTTCTTCTTCTCGTTTATGAGGTCTTTGATTATGACTCCATTGATTCCATGAAATTAAATATTCTTTATCATTATATTTATACCTCATTAGCTTATTTTGGCTTTCATATTCATTTAATAATTCACAGTCTTCCTTTTTAAATTGAAGTTTAACCCATTCAGGATTTAAACAATGTTTAATTAATCGCGGAATATCTGACATCATCTATATATAGCTTCTTTTATAAAAGATAAAAAAATAAATTATTTTAAAATTAATGTTAATTTTTTATCTTTTATAAATAAATATATTTTAATGCATCGTCTATATATAGATGAAACAAAAAAAGTCACTAAACCCTTCAACATATACTACTTAATTTATGTAATACATGATTTGGATAAATTTTACAAAAATAGAACCTATATTATATTCTTTTCAAAGATTCTTGCAAATCATCAAAAATAATTGTATTTTAAAAAACAATCAAATTATCCTTTCATTATTTTAAACTTAAATTAGTTTTTATGATTGACTAAAGCAATCATATTTATTCATCATTAAATAAACAAAAAAATAATATTTGAGAGTTATTTCAAAAAAAAACACATTGAATTTATTAATTTGTCTCAATTTCAGTATTATAAATTTTTATAATTTCAATATTTTGAAATACACTTTTTAATATTTCAATATTTATGATATTTCAATGTTTTAAGTGGTCTCAAATTGAGCTTCTCAAATATAAGTTGGCCTATTCAAATAATAAAATTAAATAATATTTAAAATAATAAATAAAAGTGATTGAGGTCATAGCAAAACGGCTGTTTGGAGGCAGTTAGGAGCTAGCGGTTGAAGCGATAACATTCACAGCCAACATCTACGGTCAAGCGGCAGCATTCAAGGGCAACATCTACGATCAAGCAGCAGCAAGGAGCTACGGCAGCAACGAACTACGGCAGCAAGGGGCTACGGCAGGTCAAGCGGCATCATTCAAGGCCAACATCTACAATCAAGCTGCAGCAAGGAACTACGGCAGGTCAAGCGGCATCATTCAAAGCCAACATCTACAATCAAGCAGCATCAAGGGGCTAGAGTAGGTCAAGCTGCAGCATGGAGCTACAGCATCAAGGAGCTACGGCAGCAAGAGGCTACGGCAAGTTAAAGATCAGTCAGATCTGGAAATATCTTTTTCAGGATTTCATTTGTCATGAAAAGCTTCAACAGGATTCTACACTTTATTAGATCTTCACGTGCGTTTTGATTAAACCTATTACGCAGGTTCCGCACAATTGAAATCATTCTTTCCACATCAGCTTAGGTTGCAGCAATAGACATGAATTTTAAGGCAATCTCTTTCAATGCCTTGAAATTTGCATCACATGCTACCCAAAACCTTTGATCCAAGCAGGTGAGGTCGGTGTTGTTCCTGATTTCACTCTCATTCATATGTATAAAGTTGGAAAGAGCTTTCTTGTACTCATTAGCTATGCTCTTGGCCGAACTTCCCTTGTAGAACCTCGCTTCTGCTTCTGCACGTCTCGAAAGCATCTCGATCATAAAATCGTTGAAGCTGTACTCTTCCACTTCTTGCATTGACAGAGACGCCCATTCACCAAGGTTCCTGCCTAGTCTCCTCCTTGGTTCATTCTCTTCAACTTCTTCATCCTGAGCAATGTCTTCTGCATCTACTTGGCCATCACCTTCAATTGCTTCGTTCTCAATCTCGGGCTCTTCTATATCTAGATTTCTGTCCAATTGATCCTCTGACACTTCATCCAAATGATCAGGGGTGTAGCTCCTTGGAGGGATTTCAAGTTCAGCATTGATAGGTATTGGTTCTTGGAAGAAGAGTGAAACGTCTGGCTTGTACTCAGTATGCATGTTCAATTCTGCGCGGATGACTGACCGGCCCCATGGAGTTAGACCAAAGGCAAATTTCATCAAAGCGTAGTTGCCCTGTTTGTCAAAAACTTCATTCATGTTGGCGATTAATGCATCTGCAATGCGCTTTGACGAACTTGATAATTCAGGACGATTTGCAATTCCGGTCAACTGCTCAATCGTCGATTGAAACATTGGATAGATGTAGCAGAAGCAGCCAACGTCACTCTCTGCATAATTCAAGAGTTTCTTGATTGGTAAAAGAATCTCTTCGAAATTTAACAACCATTGTGGAAGTCCATCCTTGAAATCAATTCCCATATCCCTTAAGATCTGAACAGATTCCGGTGGATCATCCATATTGAACAATTCATAAATTTTAGGGTGTTTTTCTTTTATCCACTTCAGAAGATCCCAGAAAAACACCCAGCGATGATCCGGAACATGAATAACCCTCATATTCAATGCCCTTCTCGTGTCCGGCTTCGATAACTCCTTGCTTATCGCTTTGCAATAATTAATTTGCATTGCGAAAGCTGCACAATTGTCTGCCGTATGCTTCACCACTAGTATCCCTAAGTGGTGTACTGTGGCACTGCGCGCCTCCGTACGCAAATTAGCGGTTTTGACACTTTACGAAACCGGTAACGTATATTTTACAACACAACCATAACACAACTTAACCTTAAATATTTACAAAACCATCTGACACATAAACAACTTCACTAACGACTTCACTAACGACTTCACTAATGACTTCACTACCGTCCTCACTAAATAAAAAATAACCTTATTTTTATTTTTTTAAATTTTTTATTTCATTACAAAGACATGTCTGACTACATTTACTATGACTCTTTCCCAGAACGTTTCCGTGAACTATTCAAAACTCAAGTAAAACTGAGAAACATGCATTTTAACAAAGACAGACCCATTGACGATGAAAGAAACCCTGAATATATTACAATCCCTTATGATGCTAAATTTATTGCATACATTCCTTATGGTCGCAGAGGAACGAAAACTATTTCAACAAAGAACAAAAATTATTTCTGGAGCGATGAAGAAAATTGCCTTATCTACATAATTTTAAATAAAGCTACATATTGTACAAAAGAAGGTTGGACTGGATTTGAGCTCTACATATACGACGACGATGGAAACAGACGTTGTGTATACCCATACGATAATATGTACCATTGTTTTCATCAAGCATTAAACGAATACATAGTCAGTAAGGGTCTCATTCCTGTTGAGTAGATATGCTTTATTTTTGTTCTGTCATTTATAAAAAATAAACTTAAAAATTAATGATATCACCACCCTCACACGTATGAAAACATAGCGCAAAAATAAATTTAGGGTAGAAGGGTAGATCTAACCTCATTTCTACCCTCATTTCTAACCTTGTTGAATTCATTGCTTTATAACTCTCTTCCTTTCTCCAACTCTTCTAACTTCTTCCTAAGTTCAGCAATGTTGTCCTCATGAAGTTTAATCTTCCTTAATATACCTTCTCTATCTAATGGTTGCTTTATCTTTCTAAACTGAACTCTACCATCCTTCATAGTATGAATGTAAAAACCTTCTGGAATAGTTCCTGATTTAATGTATTCTACCAAAAACTTTTGTTTCATTGCTTCAGTGACTTTATTTGTCATTTCAATCAAATAAAAATTTTAATATTAAATAAAAATAACTTTATTTTTTCAGTAAGGAAACGCAGGAGTTTTACGATTTATTTGAGGAGTAGGTTCTGGTTTAAATGTTGGAGTCGGTTTAGGAGTTGACTTTTGAACAGGAGTTTGTACTTCCATAGGTTCAGGAGTCATTGAAGGTTTTGCTTGTGAAGGCGTTGGAGTTTGTTTAACTTCAGCTACTTCAGTATTATTTACAACATTTGCTTTATTTCTTTTCAACATCATAACTGCTCCTGCTGTAGCTAGCAAACCTAGTGGGAGACCATATTTTATATAAGGACTTGACCAAATGCTATTTTTGACAGGAGCTGGTGGAACACCTAACCTTGGTGAGACTGCTCTTTGCCATTGTGCAGCTCGTAAGAAATATTCAATAGGTGCTCCATAATCGTTTGGTAAAGTTTGTTTCATAGATGGTGAAGGTTCGCGAGAGCTTGATGAAGAACTCATTTATAAGCTTTAAAAATAAACGTTCATCCATTATTCCTCACTGTCGTCCGTAGCTAAGTTATAGTCATCTAATCTTATTATGGGGATGCCTGACTGTCTTACCTGAATGGCAAAGCAACAATCCCTCATAAATCCAATAAGTGGCTTTGGTACATTTTCAGTTGCTAGTTCAATAGGTCCTTTAACAGACAATTTGTATGTTATTGGAGCAGTAGATGTTTGACCTTGCTGGAAGCAAAAGTCCACTTCTGTTGGAAAACCACATAAGAAATGTGTGTTGTCATAGCTATCCCATTTATGTTCCACACTACCATCATCCACCAATGACCTCATAACATCTTCATTAAATCCAATCATATCATTGTTTGTATTGCAAGCGTTCGCAACCATTTCATAAAATACAGGTCCATATGATTTTTCAGGTTCTGCAGGCATATTTCCATAAGCTCCCATGGAAAGCTGAAGATATTTAAACTTAGGGTTCTCAAAATTAACATAATAGTTGTCTTTCTTTCTAAATAGTGCCCAAATACTTTTAACATTAATAGGCGTATAAGCTGCTGTAAATGTTGCACTTGAACTATCTGTATTCTTTGAGAATGAACCGTCCATAGGAATCCAATCCATAACTTTAACAGGAAAACATAAAGCCTCGTTTGTATAATGTTCTACAAGTTCTGTATAAATGTTAGGGTCTAAAGAGAATGACTTTGGATGAATGAAAACATTCATTAAAATCCATCTTTGTTCGAAATAGTTGCTGGTTTACAGTTGTAATAGTAACTGTTCCACTAGCTTCTACTGCCTTCGTTATCATAGTGAATGGTTCATTCCATGGAACAAATTTATTTGTCGGTGGATTTGAATCTGAAGCAAATACAACTTTAAGAGTTGGATTGAAAGCAATGATATCATTTACAGATATAGATGTGCATTGTAAGGCGTCGCTACTGAACTTTTTTAAGCTGAATGTTTCCTGCAAAAGCTGGAATAAATCGAATAGCTTCTAATGGAAGGAATCTTCTAACAGGAATTCTTAAACGAAGCTTAAAATCAAATGATTTTCCTGCTGTAATTGGACCACTAACAATTTGTCCTGTTCTGCATGTTCCCGAATGACTCCATACATCTTCATGTCGAGTCTTTGAGAAAACATCTACTTTCTTTATTTGTTCGGTAGTTTGTGAGTTTGAAGTTATATATGCTTCTTCTCTTGCGTTGTCTTGAGAATATACGATACGACCATTTGCAAGGATTTGATATCCAGCAACTGCATAGAAAGCGTCATCGAAACCAATCCAAAATCCTGGTGGGTTTGTTTTATTGGAACCTGAACCAATTTCTTTATCTGCAATAAATTGACCTTCCATTTTATACGTAATGAATGTATTGTAAAGGTCCAACATATTTTCACCAGGAGGTGAGAGATTGAATGTTACCCATGTGTTATCTTTAGCAGTTCCAGGTTGTGATGGAATCTTTGCGTCAAATATTTCTATTAGTGTCACCAATTTGAACTGCATTGTCTATGATATCGAAATATGAGCGAATCTGATGAATATGCTCTGCTGGAGTAAATTCGTTTAACTGTTCGTTCTGCATGTATTTACTTCGGATAAAAATATCTATTTACTTCATTATTCTCACTCTTCTTCTTGGCATTCGTGGTGGAAGTTGTTTCTTGACATTTTCAATGAACTGTACATTCTCTTTTGTCTCAACTTCTTTCACTGGTGGGTCAGGGTTCTTTGACTCGGTTTGTTTTTCAATGAAATTCACGAACTTTGCAATAAGCTCTTGGTTCGTTATTGAAAGAACATCTGGCTTCTTTTCTTCTGGTTCTATTGACTTTTCAGTTTGAATAGAAGGCTTAACATGGGCTTCGTGGACTTCACCCTTACCATACACCTTAATGTTGTCGCTTTCTGCATTCGCTAATGGAACCTTTCTTTTTCTTACGTATATTTTACCATCTTTACTCTGACTTACGTAATAGAAAGGATGTTGTATTCCTCTTGCGTCATTTAATATAATAGACTCTCGCTCTGATTTTGACAAGCTCATTTTACATCGGTTAAAGTTTTAATTTTGTTTTTTATCTGCAGTCAAATGACTCAGACAAGCTCTACGGACAAGACCCAAGGGGTCATAGATGTTGAAGCATTGAAGAAAGAAATTCGTGAGCAAATTTTATCCGAACTGAAGGAACAAAAACAAGAACAAAAGCCAGAGAGACCAAAGAGAAAACTTAGTGAAAAACAACTAGCTGCATTAGCTGCTGGAAGACAGAAGAACCCACGTTTGCTGGCGAAGAAAGCTAGAGAAGAAGCAAAAGCAAAGGAAGAACAAAAAGCTAAAGAAGCTGAAGCAAAGAAAGAGTAAATGGTTTATTTTTATCCGAATTAAATGTATAGACAAATACCTTTAACTGTTGCGTTCAGTAGTGAAAACCCTGACGTCAAAATAAAGGGGAACAGAGTAACGTTTAAGTTTCCAACAGACTGGATTGTGAACATAAATGAAGAGAAGTACATTGGCATAACATCTATGTATATAACACGTGCTTTCAGAAAGGTTGACTTTATACTTCAAGTCGAGATAGAAAATGACGAACAGTCTTTAAGCGCCCAAAACATTCACATATACAAATACTTTAAAGACGATACAACATTGTTGCAATGTATGATTTCATTTAATGAGATGTTCGAGAAAAAGTTCAACATTGAAGTACAAACTTTACAGCCTTTACGTGAGTTTCTTGCACAACTGAAAGAAGAAGGTAGTCAGCCACAACTTATAGACTTTCATTATGAATTTAATGAAAATGAAGATGGAACACATGACTGTCAGTTTTTGTATTCTCACCATTCAATGAAGTAACTAAAGAGAAAGAAAATCCATTACGTATAAGATTTCAAATCTCTGAACCAAGTGATGATTTCAAGAATGTTTTCAATTATGATGCAATGCTTCCGAGGAAAAATGAATTTTCAAAGATTGTAACACCTGGCATTTGGGATAGAAAGCAAGCTATATTATATTCAAACTTAAGTAAGGGAGTTGAAAATGAGTTCATTGGTCATACAAGAACTTCACCACTTCCTAACCCTAAATACTATAAATTAACTGGCTTCAATCGTGAGTTTTGGATAGACATGTTCTCCACTCATGACCATAACTGCCCAGTGTTCTTACCTCCAGACCATAAGGACTGTCTCTATATTGAAGCACAACTCTTAAACTCTACCATCGCAGTATTGTAAATGACCACATGGGCTTCGCCCTTGCCGCTAGTTTTATTTTTATCACGAATGACCTCATTGCTGACAAAAATATATGACCTCATTATTTTTATCACGAATGACCTCATTCATGACCTCATTGCTGACAAAAATAAATGACCTCAGAACTTCAACTTACGAATAAAGCTTGTTTTAGTCGTTATTGAGAAGTTAAACTTTTCAGCAAAGCAAGGACTAGAAGACTTACATAAGTCAAATCCAATCTCTTGACCATCATGAAGTGCTTTGTAAAGTTTCATTAAACTGAACTCAGAGTCTTTGTCATATGTTCCAACAGGTATGTGAATGTTCTTATCTTCATTGTAATAGCATTGTATAGCTTCAGGAAACATTTCATTAGCTGTTAAAGCAAGGACGTCTTGTTTGACACCTTTGCAACGTGCATGGAATGCAACTTCATTTAAATCATTCGTGAGTAAGTCTATGTAGGTCTTCTTTCCACAAAATATTGACTTGTATGCTAAACTTTGTTTTCCAGGTGTTATTTCTGCAAAGTCAGAATGGAACTGACCTAATGTTTTACCAATAAGTTCTCTACCGTATCTCTTCTTAAACTCTGCTGCAAGCTTTGGTATGTCTTCATTGAAAATATGCATGCTATCACAGTCCTGGTAAAATATTTGAAGTCCCATATCTTCAGCAGTACAGAATACTTCACACATTATTCTCTTCGACATAGATAGAATATTAACACCAAGTGGACAGAAGTTAAAGTGTCTGCAAATGCTTTTCGTTAGCTTGAAAATAGTTTTATCTGAACCATCCAAACCTTCGAACTTCACTATATGGTTGTAGTTTCTGATGGCATATCTTATAGCATCTTTGTCATTTACTATGGTTATTTTTGACTCAATAGGAGATAGAATAGTTTTGCCATAAATACTGTTCAGAATGAGCTTTATATTTCTTGCAAAGGATTTCCTTCTTTCTTATACTTTAACCTTAACTCAAACAACTTCTTTACTTCATCTCTTATTCTAATATCTCTGTTTCCATCGTAATAGTATCCTTGCAACACTTCACATTTGACACCTTGATATTTTATGAGGTCTTGTAATGTTATATGGTCAACATACATTAAACAGCAAGTGTTTGAACTTCTGGGAACGTTAAGTTCTGGATTTAGTTCAGGGTCACAAACTATTAAAGGAAAGTGTCTATGTATTCCAATCTCTGTTATCTTAATGAGAACAAAGAAGCCAGACATAAACTTTTCACCAATGGGTTCCTTTGGTCGTCATCGAATAAATGTCTCATGAGATACTCTGTGCTTAGCATCTCATCCTTCAATACTTTTGGAATTCCTTCTAAAGTATACAATCTTGCTATAGCGGATGGATATAATGAAACAGCGTCGAAGTCAGCAATGAGTTTCTTTTCGCTCTTTTGTTTCATGTTATCTGACAACATACATCTTCCACCTTGAATGCATCTCGAAATAAATTCTCTTGGTTTATTTGAGAGGTCATAAAGATTTCCATTCGGGAAGTATACTCTGTTCTCAAACAATTTGTTAGCAATAGAACAAATACTAACGTAGTCATAAACGTTTAAATCAAACTCTTTCATTAAGTCATTGCGGAACTTAACAAAACCTTCTCTTAAAATTCTTACATCTTGTTTGCAGTAAAACGTGCTATATTTTTCTAAGTCGAAGTGGTTCTCATCTATTCTGCAACCTTTGATGGAATCTATGTT